AATTATATGAACTATATGGGGATACAGAGATTTATAGCCCTTTCTTTTTTAATATTTATTTTTTTAGTTGTAGTTAAACAAAATACCTTTATTCTATTCATTTATTTTTTGTGATGCTGAGGATTGAACCAGGGCCGCACCTGTGCTAGGTGAGCGTTCTACCATTGAGCCACAATCCCAGCCTGATAGCTTTTACTTTAATACAGCATAACCGAAGGCTGTGGGGACACATCTTTTCTCCCCCTTGTTGAGGACCACTGGCAGCTTGGCCTTGTTCTTACAGTTCATTGGTGTCTGTCAAAGCATTATTCTTGAGAATCCATCAGAAGCTCTTTCCATTGAAACCCTTTGTCTCACTCTAGACAGTTCACAGTGATGAAGATGCTAAGCAGCATCCCTCTCAGAAAGTGCTGTCAAGTCTCACCCCTGTTCACTGTCACTGTCACTCTCCTGATTCAGTTATATACATCATTAGGATTAATTCTGACATAAAAGCACAGAAAATAATTTTCTCTAATTCAGTCCCCAGTACTTCCCCTTTTTCTCCCCTCCTCCCTCTCCTCCTCTTCTCTACTGATCTTTCTGCTATTTATAGTTTTTTTTAATTAGTGCCTTGGTGGGGATATACATATGGTGAGATTTACTGTGGAATATTCATGTATGTACATAGGAAAGTTAAGTCAGACTCATTCCACTGTCTTCCCCTGTCCTGTCCCTCCTGTCTTCACCTCAGTCCCCTTCCTCTACTCCACTGATCTTCTGTTTTGATGGAATTCCTCTCCCTTTTCTTTTTCTCCTGATTTTGAACTAGCTTCTGCATATCAAAGAAAACATTTTATCTTTGACTTTCTGAGTCTGACTTATTTCACTTAGCATCATGGTGTCTCTTTCTATCTTTGATTCAGTTTCTGATTGTGTCTCCCCTAGGCTGTAACCATAGCTGTCCAAGATCTCTGCTTCTGTTGTTTTTTCACTCTAGAATGCTTCCAAATTCAGGGCCTTAACACATAAATGTGGTGTATAACTCTTTAAAAATTTTTTCTACATTTTTAATTGGTGTGTTATAGTTGTGCATAATGGGAGGATTTGTTGTTACATATCCATACATGCACACAGTATAACAATATAATTTAGCCAGTATCACTCCCCAGCACTTGCCCCTAACCTCTCCGCCTCCCATCCCTTGGTTCCTTTTGGTGTATAACTCTTTAAGAGGATACTTCTTTGACTTTTATGCTTTATGGGATAGTGTCTGAGCTTGTCAGTCTCTATGTCTGAACCTGTATGTTAGAAATTATGTTTTGCTGAGAATAGCTTTAAATCCTAAAATACCAATGGCTTAAATAAGAAAGAAGTTTGTTTCTCTCTCACACAAAAGAAGACCAGAGGCAAGCAGGCTGGCACATGTAGGGTGGCTCCACATCTTCAGTTCATTCTTTTATGCTGATCTGCAGGGTAGAAACACCTTTGTCCTATAGCCAGGACCAAGATGAGTGCTCAAGGGAGGTCCAGCTAACACATCTTCTTACCAGCCGGCAGAGAGGAAGAAAGAGAAGACTGGGTCTGTGCCCTCTAAAGATACTTCTCAGAAGTCACCTACAACACTTTCCACTGCATCTTTCTGATTAAAACTTAGACATGCCCCTGCAAGAAGGCTAAAGGATGAGGTCTTTTAGCTGGGCTGTCCCACTGAAAATTGAAGAGACTAGCTAATGTGGCAGTGACATAAGCCTCAGCTCTAGGGCCCGTCCGACCTCTTGCCCAGCCTTGTTCCTCCCCTTATGCATCTCAAGCCTTTTCTACCCAGCTCGGTGTCTATAGCCTGTTGGTAACTATAATATATCTCTTCTTAGACCTTTACTGCATCAGCTGTCTCACAGAACTGGGCCTCTTGAAAGTTCTGGCCTTTGTCTTGGGTGCCCTTCAACATCCTTGTTTCTCTTTGAAACATTTATACATCCTTCAAGCCCCAGGCCACTTCTTCAGGGAATGTTTCTTACTTGCTCAGCAGTGGCAGCACAGTGCTCTGTACTTGTGCATATACCAGTGTGGAACAGTGGCAAAGCTTTGTGGACCTAACAGTTGAACAGATCTGGTTTGAATCTCTGCTCTCCAGCATGGGCTGGAGGTGCACAGCATAGAAATTATATATAAAGCTACAACCCAGGCCTCACTTTTGAGTTCCACACTTTCATATTGAACTGCTTATTCAACATCATCCCAAGGTACATATGTAACTACTTTTGAAACAGAACTCTTGATTTTACTTCGTTCTCTAGACTTTCCTTATTCATACCTCCCTCAGCCTAGCTGCAGATGTCAGAAAACTGGAAACAGTTCTTCACTTCTCATGTCTAATAGCCCTTAGACTCTTATATTAAATCCCCACCAGTATATCAGCTCAATTGCAAAATATGTCTTAATTCTGCCTCCAGAGTCTGCATCACAGCTCTGTCCTCCAGTGCCTGGACTCCTGGAGTAACTCTTCACTGATCTCCTCACATCCACTCATAGCCTGCTCTAATCTTGCCTTGGTCATGCTATTCTTGCATAAAAGTCAGCTTCCCATTTAACGTAGGCTTAGCTCGGGTTCTTATCTCCTGTAGTGCCCACCTGCCTTGACTCCTGTCTCCCTCTCATCTCATGTCTTGCACTGCCTATTCTTGCTAATTGTGCTCCACCTTCCCAGTCCTATTTCCAGTTCTCTTTCCAGTCCTTGACTGTGCAAAGAACTTCCTGTTTTTACCACCCTCCTGCCATTCCCTGCCTTGGGGTCTTTTGACCCCCTATTACTCTATATACACCATCTTCTTTTCTCGGCTTAAACATTACTTCCTCACAAGCCTTTCCATGATCGCTAACCTAAATCTCACATCCTTTTCCCTTCCTCCATAGGACTATTCTTTCCTTCTTATCCTTCATCACAATCTGTAATTTTATATTTATTGAGTGATTATTTATATAACATCATTTCCACATTAGCCTGTATGTTCCCTAAGGGCTGGGATCTATATCTTACAACTGAATCCTCAATGCCCTGTGCTCAATAAGTATACATGGAATAAATGAATAAATATATGATCTTGTGATTCAGTAATGCATTCGATTCTCTCATTACACTGACAACTTTGCTCTTCAGTGTGGCAAGAAATAGTGTAGTTGGAAACATATTAAGGTGATTCACCTTTCCAACTTGGCGTTGTATTTCTTTACATTCATTGACTGTAATATCTATGATTCTCACCTGCAAGGCTATAAACTTTGGTTTAATTTATTAAGATGTAACTATGAACAAAGCCTTATTTTTTCCAGGATAACCTTATGAATACAGAACCTATAGAGGTCATGTTCAGGTGTGATATCTGGAAATCATGCTTGGGCCCACTGCCATGGCTTGCCCTCTCTCTTTGGATCTAACCTCGTATAACCTTTGGAACAGAAGAGTCACTGTTGTTGGGGTGGAATCTGAACTAATAGTCATTTTAAGATGGAACCATCAGTGACCATACTAGAAAGCTACTAGCCTTGGGTTTGGGCTGTCCTGGAAAATCCAGTTCTTTCCCTACCCTGAACTCATTTCCACAGCTTTTGAGACCAAAAGCTTACATGTCAGATTTCTAAGTAGCATGTACTCTTAATTTTATCTTCCTGTTCTTCCTAAGTTACCTTATTTTCTGCAGAACACTGCAAGGTATATTATGGAACAAACAGATCTACAGCTTGTATTGTTTTGTTTTTGCCCCAAGATTATAAAAAAAAATGTTGTTCTGAAAGCATCTTATGATTTTGAAATTCTAGACTATGGCCTAAATTAAAAGATGAACTTGGATGACTATCCCTCTTTTACTGATGGATAAGTCATCCATAGTAAGAAAAGTTTGTGTTTGCATTTTCTTTTCAGAAGATAATGAAGATTCTGCTTTTAGTGGGCTCATCAGTAGGTAGATTTCATAGATGGAAAAGCACACAGTTGATCATTCTTTAGCTTCAGTAGGTCAGATCATGTCAGTGTTTCCAGAGCATGCCCAGAATGGTAAAAGTTGGCCTTTAGCTGAGCCTTTGCTAGAGGCAGCCAGTCCTGAAAAGAATTTATTTATTTATTTTGGCCTTGGTTATGTCTAAATGATGATAAGTATGAGTCTCTCTGAAGTGGGTCCCACATGAATTTGGTTGTGATCCCTAGAACCTGCGATTACAATATACTTGGATAGAGGGTAATTTTTAGTGGGGAGGAATCTAATGTAATAAATGAAAATACAAAAATTTTAAATGTTCAAAAGGTGTGTAATTTGCTGTTTTTATTCATGTGTGTTTTAATACTTCTGGTATGGAGCCTAATTGCCTCTTTCTCGGGAGATGTGGTTTTAGTTTCTTGGGTGAATGTGCATTTTATAAGTTTTTTAAGAAAGGAAATTAAACATAAAAGACTTTAAGTGCTTTACTCTTTATATAATGTCACTAAGAAATGCCAGGAAAATCAGGGTTGGGCTTTTTATTTATTTATTTAATAAATATAATAAATTTTCCACCATTTTGTTTGTTATGGCTGGTACCAAAGTTCTTTTAAAAGGTAACATTTATTTTGATTTTGTACTGTTTCAGCAGATGTGCTTTAATTAATTAACCTATCTCTATTCTTCATTGTGGGCTGGACAGTACTTAATATCTTTTTTTTTTTTTTTGGCATTTTGATGCACAGGTGATTTAGTTTAATTCAGCATATTAGATGTTCTCTGCTAGTATGGTGTTTAGCATGCGAATGATGTAAAGTAGAGCAAATGTGGCCTGCTGAGCCAGGTGCTCAAAGTGAGCATTGATACAGATATGTGACATGATTGGCCATAGTCAAGTCATCCAACCATTGTGAGTGAGTGATGTGGGGTACTTGGTATCCAGAAATCTTTCCCAGTCTGAGTTTTCAAATCTTCAAAGTCCGTATGCCTAATGGATATTCATCTAATTGATCCCTGCTCTTCTTTTTCTTTGTCTTTCTAATTTAGGAAAAGAGGATGCCAATGCACCAGTTACAAAAGATGAGAGCACCTCCATGTCACAAGACACAAAAGCTTTATCAGAGAAGTCGCTGCAGAAATCAGCTAAGGTCATTGATTGCAGATTTTTTCCACTCTTCCAATGGTTATCACCTGAGCTACTTGTCAGTCTCGTGAGATTCAGTTAGGACTATAGTTAGTCAGTTAATCAGAAAAGTTAGTAGACTCAGGAAATTAGGAATGGGTCTTGTAACTTTTTTTTTTTTTTTTTAAAAGAGAGAGTGAGAGAGAGAGAGAGAGAGAACTTTTCAATATCTATTTTTTAGTTTTCGGCCGACACAACATCTTTATTTGTATGTGGTGCTGAGAATCGAACCCGGGCCGCACGCATGCCAGGCGAGCACGCCACCGCTTGAGCCACATCCCCAGCCTGGGTCTTGTAACTTTAAACAAGTAAATGTGTATTCACTTCCCTATCTTTGTATAAAGGGCCAAGGCCTTTTCTTTAAGTATGTTTGGAGTTTTGTATTCTTTCTTGTTTATAACCCATGTACAATCAGGCATTTATGACTTCCAGTTTGGGTTATTGAAAGTGGAGCAAAGCCAGGCACAGTGGCACACACCTGTAATCCCACTGACTCAGGAGACTGAGATAGGAGGATCGCAAGTTCACTTCCAGCCTAGTCGACTCAGCAAACCCCTGTCTCAAAATAAAAAATGAAAACGGCTGGTTGAGCTCCTCTGGGTTCCGTTCCTAGTACTATGAGCAATAAGTGAATGAATGAATAAAGTGAACTGAGAATTTAAGACACTGGGAGAAGTAATAGGAATATCAACTCCTTCTAGATTTTAGTTTTTGCTTCAATTTTTTAAATTGTCATAGCTAATTCAAAAAATGAATTTTAAGAATTCCTTTTTAGTTTTTTCAAAGTATTCAATTCAGTTATCACATAATAATTATTTTTACATTCCTGTTTCATTTTTTTGCACAATTTTATTAGAAGCTTATGTATGTTAGTAGCATCCTCAGATGTGGGATCAAATACAGCTGACTCTGGCTATGCAGATAACTCATGGTGGCAGAAGGCAAAGTGATGCAAGGGCAAAGAATTGAGTGGCATCATAGTGTGAGGCTTCGTGTACCAGAGGTATCTTGTTGGTGTGCTTGACCTGGGAATGCAGTGTGCAACTCGCCAGCCAGCTGGTTAGGAGAATCTCGCCTACATATTGACCTGAACAATTTCAAATTTACGTATGTTACTCCCACTGCATTCAGTTATCCAGATCTTTATTTCTATAGGCATTTCGAGGACTAACCATGTTCCAGGCAATGTGCTAGATGTGGAAGATTGTAATGACTGGGTGGCCGGGGGCTGCATCTGGCTCCTACACTGGTTTCATTTTACCTGTGCAGAATTTTAAAAGTTTGACTTAATAACTTACATTAAACAAACATACAGAAAGTGTTTCCATAAAAAAATCATGCTTCTAGCTTCTTTTTCAAACAAACATCTGGCTGTACTGGGCCACATTTCTAAATGATTATGATAAGAGCTGAATAGAGCAACCCTCTGTCCATAGAACTTGTATTCTGTGATTTGCTACTGCCCTCCAATCGTGCCCACCCCTTCTTCCCATCCTCTCCCCTTTTCTTTCTCTCCCTCTTGGATAACATTTTTTAATGAATTTAATCTAAAATTACAAGGCAGGGCAGGTGGTACACATCTATAATCCCAGGGACTCAGGACGCTGAGGCAGGAAAATCACCAGTTTGAGGCCAGCCTGAGCAATTTAGCAAGACTCTTGTCTCAGAATTTCAAATGGGCTGGGCATGTAGATCAGTGGTAGAGCACCCTTGGGTTTGATTTCTAGTACAAAAAAATTTAAAAAGTAAAAAATATCAAATAAAATAAAATTACAAGGTAAGCAGCACTTGTATGCCAAGCTTATGCTCTGCCTAAAGCTAACTTCGTATGAACCACAGGTTCAAGCTGCTTTCTGCATTTCTGTGCTATCAGAAATTAAACCAGGATGCAAGGACTTCTGGGTCAGATAAGATAGCATGGCTTGATTTTTTTGCTCCTCCTACTAAGGACATCTGTAAACCCTGGTTTGGGGGGTGGGGGCAGGAAACCCCAAGAGAACTTGAAAGGGTAAAAAGAAGAAGGAACACTTGTTAGGGACCTCCGGACTAAAGAAACTACATAGAGACAGGGACTTTACAGTCCTACCATTAGAAGGTGTTTCTGAATCTCAGCCTAGCAATGGCCAGATAGACTCAGAGAGAGCCAAGAAACCTCTATCTCAGAGATGCCAGGCAAGGCCAGCAGCATCTGTGAAGGAGTTGACTGGGAGCCCTGATAACAGTGAGTGATCATGAGAAGAGCTTTCCTTTCCCCTTAGGCCTGAGAGGCCTCTCCCCACTGAGATACAGTGGGCATCTGAGTGGCTCTACCAAGGGTGATCCTACTCCAAGAAGCACCTGATACAGGAAGCCTCTTTGTCCTATGGGCCAGGGATTCCCCTCTCTCACCTCGAGGCACCAGAAAGCATGAGGATACCAGTAAAAAGGATCTTGCCACAACAAACGACCTGGTGGGCAAGGCCCCTTTGTCCTCACCCAGAGCAACTCGGAAATTATGAAAACTGTTTGAAGGGGAATTCTACCATATTAGGTGTGCAATCTGGGAAGTCTCTTTGTCCTTGGGGACTGGAGACTATTCTCTCAAATCCAGAGACATTGGACAGATAGTCAAGTAGTGCCAGTAAGGAGATTGTGCCACAAACAGGAAATCCCTAAATGGGAAGCCTCTTTGTCCCTGCAGGCTAGAGAGTACTATTCCACACTTTCAGGTGCCCTGGCCTGGAGAGTCCCCTAATTCCTCACAAGCAGCATCAGTAGAGAACCAGTGGGAGTCCCAGTGGCACCATGTAAACCAAACTTTGCAAAATAATACTGCAGAGACCCTGAAAACAAAATTGTCATTGGAATCTCAGCCCACAGCAATAGGCCAGGATCTGCATGCTAAATAAACCTCAATACTGTGACTGCCTAGCATGAAAGAGTTAAATAATACCAGCATCTCCTAATGTCAATAGCCAGAAAGTTCAGGATTCAAACAAAAACCAATCATCATACCAAGAACCAGGAAAATCATAACTTGAGAGAGAAAAGGTATAACTTATACCTACATGAAACCATTGATGTTATGACCAGGCTTCACAATGACCATTATGAAGATTCTTCAGCAAGCAATGGAAAATTCTCTTGAAACATTTGAGAAAATAGAAAATCTCAGCAAAGAAGTTATAACTTAATAAGAATAGTAATTTATTTATTTATTTTTTTTAAAGAGAGAGAGAGAGAATTTTTTTTAATATTTATTTTTTAGCTTTTCGGCGGACACAACATCTTTGTTTGTATGTGGTGCTGAGGATCGAACCCAGGCCGCACGCATGCCAGGCGAGCGTGCTACCGCTTGAGCCACATCCTCAGCCTGTAATTTTATATTTAATAACATTTTTAAAGCATTTATGTATTGTTCATAGAGTATGCTGGTATGTCAATGTGAGAAAAGTATAATGCAGAACAAATACCTGGAGCTATACCTATCTGCTGAAGTCTCACTTTTCTTCATAAGACATAGGTCACAGTTATAAAAGCACTTTGATCTAATTTATTCATGTACTGCATAGTTTTTTTTCCTTGGATATATATGCTTAAATTATTGCAACTTATTGATTACTTACTGCTGGACTCTGCTAGTTGATCAGATAATATCCTCCTGACTTCACCTGATACCCAGTTCTACAGATGAGCAACACTGACATTATCTTTGGTGTTTTCAGGTGGTTTACATCTTGGAGAAAAAACATTCCCGAGCGGCCACTGGCATCCTCAAACTGTTGGCTGATAAGAACAGTGAGCTGTTTAGGAAATATGCCCTGTTTTCTCCCTCAGACCACCGAGTGCCTAGAATTTATGTACCTCTCAAGGACTGTCCCCAGGACTTTGTGACCCGGCCTAAAGATTATGCCAACACATTGTTCATCTGCCGCATCGTGGACTGGAAGGAGGACAGCAGTTTTGCACTGGGGTAGGTGATCTCTGGCAAGAAAAACCACTGGTTACAGGAAAGAACAGTTTAAGGCACTTTATACTAACTTTTTATGAATTTTAGTTATTGTTTCTTTATTAAAGCCAAGGTATGGTGGTTCTGAGTCCAGAAGTTACCCTTACTTCACTTCAACTAGTTGCCAACAGGTTCCTTGAATTACCAAACAGTAGCCTTTTTGTTTTTGTTTCTGGCATAAAATATAAGCACATTCTGAGCCTCTACAGTTTCCTGTTGTGTCATGAATCCTATTCATACTTGTGTTCTGCAGCAAATTCATTGCATCAAATAGCCAGTTCTTTCCTTTCAGATGCTTTTTTAAAATATGCAAAGTCCAAGCATATTCAGGAGACCTCCCAGTTTCTTTGCTTTAAAGTATGAATATGAAGTCTTGTTTGAATGGTGTGCTTTTTGGTGTTGATCCTGCAGTCAGTTTGATTAGTGCCAAAGGTTTCACCTTAGCATTAAAAGCTAAATTATTACTACTGTAGGGAGGAAGAAGAGTGCCATGTTTCTGTGGAAGCTGTCAGAAATCAGCCTAACTTAAATCTTAGAGATGGTCATTTAATTTTTATTTAAAGAAACTGCTAGACTTCACTATCTGATCAAGTGCTATGACTATTATAACTAGCAATCACTTTGAAAGAAAAATAATATTGTTTTAGTTGTATCTTTAGGTCTTTACTATGAATGATGTCTGACTTTTGCTTCATAGGAAATGGCAGTGAAAGGTATACAGTATAGAAGAGTCTTTCCTGACATTTAACTCTTAGTCCAGTGTAGTGGCTTGCTGGTTGGTTATCTGACTTATACAGAATGGATCCTCCTGGGAATGTTCTGTGGTGATGTGAGGCAACACTGAACGGATGGCCACAGTGTGCTGCTTTTACCAGGCTTATTCTACACTTAGCTTCTTATGCCTAGCCATGTAATCCAGGTCATACTGATGTTAAGAAATACCCCAGAGCCACTTTTCAGTTATGTGAAGATCAGTGTGATTTCCTTGAACTCAGAGCCTCTTAGGAACTGTTGAACTTTCTTTTTTGCTCTAAAATGGTGCGATTGTAGTGTCATTATTTTTAAACTTAACTCATTATCCAAGAGTGATGTCAACCTCTTGAGCCCCAAGTAATCCTTTTCACAGGCTTGCCCGTTTCTCACCATCAAATCAAAAGGTCTGATGGTGGTCATGACACTGGCCTCTGGTCACAGGAAAGAACACCTTTATACACAGGGCACCTTTATACTAACTTTGATTATGCTGCCACACTGTTTGACAGTGAGAAGGGAAGTCTTTCACATCACACCAGGAAACCCAGCCTTGTCCTTTATCTGCCTTTCTGCTGAGCCCTTTGTGCATTCTGGATTGGACTGCTGCCTTAGTGTTCAGGTTGTAAGGGTGTAGTTAGGAAATCTTCAACCAGGAAGATTCTTATGTTTCTGTTTATGTTATTACTCTAATGATCCTGTAGGTTCTCTCATACAACTGAGCCCTTGCTTCATCAGGACCCTAGTCAAAGGGTAGATGCAACAACAACCAAAAGGGAGTCGAGCCTTTGAAGCAACAAACACCTTTGTTGGATCCAAAGAAAGAATATTTTATTTTATTTTTTAAAACCTTTATTTATTTATTTATTTATTTTTATGTGGTGCTGAGGATCAAACCCAATGCCTCGCACATGCTAGGCGAGAACTCTACCGCTGAGCCACAACCCCAGCCCCAAGAAAGAATATTTTAAAAATATGGTAATCATGTATTGTCGTGTAATTTTCAAAATAAAATTTTAAGATAATCAAATGGAAAACTGTGCTTGTTCTCTACCTTCTTAATATAAAGACATTGTAGTAGTGTTTTATGGAAATATGCCTTTTAAAATCTTTGTGGACATGAATAACTGATTAGAGCAAATTAAAACATCTTTGTGGAAATAGAGAAAATCTATTTTGAATAATAAAACCTGGCAGGTTTTCATGACGAAGCTCTCAGATGATGCTGTCACATGAGGGGTGAGGGCTGCAGCTGCTGGGCAAGGCGGTGGTCGCCTTGATGTGCTGTTCTGGCTGTCAGTTACTTTCCTTTTAGAAACTCATGCAGTGGCCCTCACGCCTATGTTACTCCTGCCTTGGTGGAATATGCTATCCTGGAGTCCAGAGCTCACAGTCCCAGCCTTCCTGCCAGGATGTTGTGAGCATGGAGGTTCGTGATCACTTTCTCCTAGATTTGTTATGGTTTATTCTCAAATATGTAAGGATAAATCTTGAAAAAAAAAGTTTTATAGCAGCTACTGTGAGAAACAGTAGCAACACTGAAGGCTAACTGAAGATGTAAGATGTAAACTAACCTGGAGCAAACTGACATGTTCATGTTATTTTATCTGCCAAACTCTGATGGCTATGGGGGTTGGGAGAAGAGAGAAGATGAACAGGTCACTGCAGAATGAGAAATTCTGGTTTGAACCTGGGATTGCCTAGTCTTAATGGAAGGCTATTGGAATGAGATATAGAGATTTTGTCGTTGTGCTGCTGGCTTTTATGAATGAAGGACAACAGAGTCTATTGAAGCCAAGAACGAGACAGGATGAAAGCAGAGGAAGGGAAGTTTTGATTGCCAGGTGTGTGGAGAAGGAAGTGTGCGGGGGCTTTGTCTCCCGGCTTTGCTCTGTAGGGCCAGTTGGCAGATACTCGCTGACAGGCAAAAGTAGATGCTTTTGCTCTTCTACTCAGTTTTGATAGGTACTGAATTCTTTTGGGGGTAGATATGAATTGAAGTGGTCACACATTAAATAAGTTTTATTTACTAGGAAAATGAAAAAGAAACCAGGAAGATAGAAAAAGCAAATGGAAAATTAGTGTTTTTTATGGAAGCGTTGCTTCTAAGATGAGCACACTGAAAAATAACTCTTCAATCATTCCCCCTGCACAAAAGGAATATTTCACCTTTCCTGAACATATTCCTTATTTAAAGAACCTTCTGAGGGAAAGGTTGAGTTGTGTGATGCCAGGAACTTGTATTACCAAACTTATAAGTCCTTTTCAGGGGCGTGGCTCTAGCTGGCTAGTAGATAAAAAGCCAATCAGGCTGAGGAGGGGGCTCTTTTTTGGTGACTGTTGGGCTCCACCTGCTGGTCTACAATGCTCAGCTTTGGAAAAAGCCACATCTTGCAAACCAAGAGCATCCTGATCAAAGCAGAGCAAAAGTCAAAGAATGGAGGAGGATGGTCCTGGTGTCACTTGGTTTGTTTCCCAAGGACCACTGTATGCAGGCACTTACACTTCTTCCCAAATTGCCGTCCCCACCTGCAAATTCTAGTGCTCTTTCTTCAAAGTATTAAAGGAGAACTGTAGATGCCATCAGCCTTCTTGTGCTCTTGGGACTGGTCCAGTCTCTTCGCTGATCCTAAGTAGCAACACTGATTCACTCTCAAGCTTCAGGGTCTTTCTTAAAATCATTCAGTACTGTTGGACCTTCTTCCCGTTTTTTTTTTTTTTTTTGTCTGTTTTTCACTGATAAAACACTTTTTCTGAAGTCATTGTTCCTTACTTGCTACCTTCTATTGTGTCATATTACTGAGCTGGAAGAAGGGAAAATAACTTGGTCTCTCTTCCTGATTGTAGAAAATACACAGCCAATGGTGTTGCGTCTTTGTCACATGTCTTGTTCACCTTGTGTTGTTACTGAGGTTCTGGGCCGTATGTTCAGCCAGTGTTGACTCCTCCCCACACCTGGCTTTTCAGGGATCTGATACCATTTTGCCTATTTGGGTGAGTTTCAGCATGAACCAGTGTGCATGGGAGCATTTATTTAAGAGCAGTAATGATAGTAGTGGTCGTGACCACTACAAGAATGTGTGACCTGTGCATAGCCTAGTTTTAAGGCCAAACTTTCTAAGAATATTTAGAAGAGGAAAGAGATGCATAGCCAAGAGCACTAATACTGACTGGTAAATATTCTTGTTTTCTTTAAGACAAACAGGCTGATTTGAAGGACTGTTTTTTTCATAGTTTCTGTCTAGTTTTTATTTCCATATCACCCAGGACAAGTCAGTCTGATGCTTATCTCTATAGAATGTTTATATAGACACTCCATAACCCCTACCTATCAACTGCAGAAAGCTGGGAATGTTTCAAGCATTATCTGGACGTCCTTCATGTGAGTGGGAATAGTGTTGGTAGAAGAGCTTTGGTGAGTGAAAAAAACTTGAGGTGATGAACATTATACATTTCTCCGAGGAAAGCTTTCTTCCTTTTAACTGTTTATTATTGCAATATCAAAATTAGGATAGGGGCTGGGGTTGTGGCTCAGTGGTAGAGCGCTCATCTAGCACGTGCGAGGCCCTGGGTTCGATCCTCAGCACCACATGAAAATAAATAAACAAAATAAATTTGCAGATAGATCATTAAAATTATATTTTTTAAAAAAATTAGGATAAAATTTTTAAGGTTTTAAAAATTTTTTAAATTTTTAAGGAACAAGACAGGGATGCCCTCTCTTACCACTTCTATTCAATTTAGTTCTTGAAATACTAGCCAGAGCAATTAGACAGACAAAAGAAATTAAAGGCATAAAAATAGGAAAAGAAGAACTTAAATTATCACTATTTGCGGATGATATGATTCTATACCTAGAAGACCCAAAAGGATCTACAAAGAAACTACTAGAACTAATAAATGAATTCAGCAAAGTGGCAGGATATAAAGTCAATACGCATAAATCAAAGGCATTCCTGTATATCAGCAACAAACCTTCTGAAATGGAAATGAGGAAAACCACTCCATTCACAATATCCTCAAAAAAAATAAAATACTTGGGAATCAACCTAACAAAAGAGGTGAAAGATTTATACAATGAAAACTACAGAACCCTAAAGAGAGAAATAGAAGAAGATCTTAGAAGATGGAAAAATATACCCTGTTCATGGATAGGCAGAACTAACATCATCAAAATGGCGATATTACCCAAAGTTCTCTACAGGTTTAATGCA